CGTACACTTTAATATACAAAACACCTGGAACATTCTTTAAATAATTGTGGTCGTAGAAATAATTGTGTACATAACTCGTTTGAAAGTGTATTTTATGCACTTGCCAAATGTATTATCCATGCAGAGTAATCAGACTATTTTTTTACTTAACTTCAGTACATCTCTTACTACTAAAACTATTTTTATCAATGGAAAAAAAGGGCCGTGTTCTCGTATGTTTTGACGCATTTTCGGCCTCAGCCCATCGGATTCCCCCTCTAAATATATATGAATTTTGCTTAGAATTGCTAATCCTACAATTCTCTATTCGTGCTTGCTGACTGGGAAAATAAATACCGAAAATCGTCACTGTCTCCTGGACTATACAATAGATGATGATGATGAGAACTTCACAACAGATACACTTTTATGAATGGCTAGTTGGGGATGTGCTTATACCTTACATGTTTTATACACAAACTTACCAGCGATGTCAATAATAACAACAGTCACATTCGCAGATGATACGCCATCCTCTAGTCACAAGAAAATCCAAAAGTTACGTCGAGAAGTTGAAGAAATGGCGTATGAAATCCTACGAATCTAAGTCTATACATGTTAAATTTACGCACAATATTTATTCCAATGTTCACAAGGGTTATAAAAATAAATTCACCTCAATTTAGGCTTCCACGATGCCGTTTTTGGTTCCTTTTTGGAACCAGTAAATCAATACAACCCTTGTCGATTATGTTTTCAATTTTTGTTTTGTCAAATTTGTAAGAACTAAAATTTTGGCAACAGCGTTGACATTTATAAGCCTCCATTTTATATACATTAAACTTATTTCAAAACTCATGTTGAGCATTATTATAATTTATAGATTTCCATAATTTTGAGTAATTTTATATCCATTTTTGTCCTTTATTTCATTTATTACATTCAATTTTACAAAAATTATTCCTGCTACAATTGTCATTATTCCCGCTACCAATAAGCCTTAAAACCGCCCAAAAAAATTAATGGGTAAAGCATGATTTGTTGGAATAAAGTTTTATTGCGTACTTTCAACTAATATTGCCCAACAATATGTATTTATATTTGCAAAAACGACAGATATTTAATAATAAAATTATTTATGATGAAATATTAAATGCAGTTGAAAGCTTTTATCAAATTATACTCGTATTTGTAAATTTTATTTTAGGTAAAACATTTTGCAATTAAATTCGTTAAACCTGTATTTAATGTCACGTTCACAGTGAATATTAAAAGCTGATTTAAAAAAAAAATTCATTTATGTAATACCTAGTTAAATAAAATAGGTACTTTGGTGCGTGAAATAAAATTTCATGTATCCTCAAACGTATATTTTATTTTGAGAAAAAAATCCAATTACCCATTTATTTGATTCGTTTATATTGCAAAACTTCGCTTCGCTCGTTCAGCAAATTTATAATCATTAACCAAAAAAAAGGCATTTTGCAAACTGGTTATATTTTGTGGACAATTAATTTTTTATATTTTTAATCTAAAACTTTTTTTTGGAAAGTGAACCCTTTATTGCATAATGTTCCCATATGGGAACGTATATATTGCAACAATGCATCAAAATCCATGCCGTTCCTTTCTTAGTACATGTTAGTGTCTGGGAAGTTCATATGCTTGCTAAAAGGTGGCAACAGTTGTGTTAAAGAAACAGTTTTACTTAGGAAAGCTGGTGTTTGTAGGTTATAATTGTCATAGTGCATCAGTTGTGGTTTGTTTTTATAGAAAGGCTTATATCTTACATGTTTTATACACAATGTATTGTTAAAAAAATAATGTTCTACATAAAAAACCTTAGATAATAACTATTTTATTTTCTTCTCTATCTTCTCTATCTTCTCTATCTTCTCTATCTTCTCTATCTTCTCTATCTTCTCTATCTTCTCTATCTTCTCTATCTTCTCTATCTTCTCTATCTTCTCTATCTTCTCTATCTTCTCTATCTTCTCTATCTTCTCTATCTTCTCTATCTTCTCTATCTTCTCTATCTTCTCTATCTTCTCTATCTTCTCTATCTTCTCTATCTTCTCTATCTTCTCTATCTTCTCTATCTTCTCTATCTTCTCTATCTTCTCTATCTTCTCTATCTTCTCTATCTTCTCTATCTTCTCTATCTTCTCTATCTTCTCTATCTTCTCTATCTTCTCTATCTTCTCTATCTTCTCTATCTTCTCTATCTTCTCTATCTTCTCTATCTTCTCTATCTTCTCTATCTTCTCTATCTTCTCTATCTTCTCTATCTTCTCTATCTTCTCTATCTTCTCTATCTTCTCTATCTTCTCTATCTTCTCTATCTTCTCTATCTTCTCTATCTTCTCTATCTTCTCTATCTTCTCTATCTTCTCTATCTTCTCTATCTTCTCTATCTTCTCTATCTTCTCTATCTTCTCTATCTTCTCTATCTTCTCTATCTTCTCTATCTTCTCTATCTTCTCTATCTTCTCTATCTTCTCTATCTTCTCTATCTTCTCTATCTTCTCTATCTTCTCTATCTATCTTCTCTATCTATCTTCACTATCTATCTTCACTATCTACCTTCTCTATCTATCTTCTCTATCTATCTTCTCTGTTTTCGCACCTCCTGCTACCTCCTGAGCTCCTGATCAGCTCCCTGCACCTCTCCTGTATTTTATTTTCAGTCTGCTTGGCGTTATTGTTCTTATTGTTCACTGTAAATATTAGTATTTGACGAATAAACTTAATTTGATAAAAAATACAATATTTCATTTAATACTTGTTTATTTTCTCTCGTGTTATATGCAATTGTTATTAGTATTATTTTTAATTTGTATTATTTATGAAATAAATATTATTAGTCTATCAAATAATAAAAACGGCTAAACATTCAATCATCTTCTTTGACAATATTTTAAAAATCATCCTGTATGAATCCGAACGACGCAAAACAAACGCATTCTCTTTGTAAAAACTCTTCAATTAAAATGACGTTTTTGATACGTTCTCGCTTATCCGATATCAAAGCGAAATTTCAGTGCAACCCACCCCGATCCCTACTTAACCCCCTCGAACATTTCCACTTTCAAGCCATGTCTAATGTCTAATATTTAATGCTGCCTGTGTTTACGGTTTACGACCACTTTTTCGTCTCCTTCAATTTGCCAAAACATAAAAACAAAATGTCTCGTTAGGGAGCATCCGTGTAAATATAATTAGGACAGACCTGTTTTCATTACCAACTTTATAATTAAATGCGGTAGCAGAATTTCCTCGGTTGCTTTTTGTACGCCGTATATGGATGTATTACGAGCTAGCACCTACTCGATAGAAATTGCGACGTGCTTTGTAAAAACTTGACTTATGTACTACATTTGGTGTGAGTATTAAAAGGGATGAATTGCAGGTTGCAGGTTACAGAGTCATAAAACCTATGCTAACAAAGGTCTTTAGATGGAAAAAGTACAATAGCTAGTGTGGTAGCCAAATATAAATAATTCAATATGGATTCTAAGAACTTTAAAGAGATAAAAAAACATTTTTTATAAGTTAAAACCCTTTCTGATATTGCTGGTGACAGATTTAAGGCATAATGGGTCATCAGGGTATACTCACAAAGAGAAGGTATTGATTACATCTAAACTTTTTGTTGTAAAGACTGCAACGTTATAAGCTTTATTGAACATTGCTGCCAACCAAAAGATGTATATAACACAATTTGATGTCTGCACAGCATTTTTGTAGCTTATTGTGGTCTAAAATAAGCATCTCTTTGCTTTAATAAAACATTTATAGATAATATTACTAAATTACATTTGTTGTGAGTATAAAAAGGGATGAATTTCCTAAAACGATTACTAGGAAAGTTCTAGATAAGGTTAAAGATTGCAGGTGACAGGTTACAGAGTAATAAAGCCTATGATAACAAAGGTCATAAAAGAAAAAGAAAATATCTCTCTAGATGGAAAAAGCACAACAGCTGGTGTGGTAGCTTAATAGAGAAAATAAAATATGCACTCTAAGAAAACTTTAAAGAGGTAAAAGAGCCATTTATTATGAGTTAAAAGCCTTCCTGATTTCACCGTTGATGGGTTTAAAGCAGGATTGGTAATCAAGGGATACTCACAAAGGGAAGGTATTGATTACAACTAAACTTTTAGTCCTGCTGTAAAGACTGCAACGATAAAAGCTTTAATGAGCATTGCTGCCACCCAAAAGATGTATATAATACAGTTTGATGTCTGCACATCATTTTTTAGCTTAATATGGTCTAAAATAAGCAGCTCGTTGTTTTAATAAAACAATTAGAGACAATATTCTGGCTTGTTTATTAAAAAGCGATATTAATATATCCTTCTAGAATTCTATGTAGATGACGGTCTCTTAGCATCTAACGATAATAAATTGAAAAAAAAGTTTTTAGATCTAGAGAAAGGATTCAAAATTGAAGTCAAGCCACTTACCAACTTCTTAGGTCTAGATGTTGACACCTATGGAGACAGCCCCAACTGGCACTGGATCAACAGAACCTGGGGAAAAAACTGGTCCAAACACTAATCAACGCCAAAAAAGACTCAATTTCAAGAAAAACAAATGCCGTATCGAATGAAATAAGAGTTAGTGACGATGAAATCCAAAAGTTGAAGATTCCAGAGCACTTTTACTTTGAAAATGCATACTTTAAACAATTACAAAAGAAATATGAAGAAACCAAAGACTACCTGGTACAATGCCAAAAATTTAAAGAGGAAAGAAATCAGAGACAGTAACAAAGTTAAATCTTGAGGACACTGATCAAGAAACAAGATTGAAAAACAAAAATGGAAATGTGACCAATTAAACAGACTCGTTTAAAAAATATACAAGGAAATGGATAAAAATTAGATCAACTCCAATAAACAGTGGTTCATAAACACAGCAGAAAAGACATGGGGGTGATTTGAGAATTACATGAGGAGACTATGGTTGTTGAAACAACTTTCCAAGACAGATATTTTATAAAAGAGATATTCACTAAAATGGGGAAATATGTAGAGAAACTAATGAAGAAAATTAAAGAAAAAATTGTAAATAATGGGAATCCAAATCAATATGATAAAAGTAGATCGAACAAACAGTTAGCAAAAATAAAACTACTGATGTTTGATGGGAGCTATGACCAATGGTTTACATTTCATGATATTTTCCAAAAGGTTATTCATGAAAGAAATTGCCTGACAACCATTGAAAAAATGCAGTATTTAAAAACGAATGTCCAAGGACAAGCTAGCAAAATGATAAAACATTTGGACATAACCGAAAACAACTACCAGTCAGCTTGTGACATTTTGAAGAAGCGTTATGAAAATAAAAGAAAACTAGTAGAAACATTGGTTGATAAAATATTGGATTTGCCACTAGGTCATAATGAAGCATCTGATAAACTCAAAGAACTCCATGATTTTACAATGGAATGTATAAATGCTATGATTAACCTTGGCATTGATACAGGATCATGGAGACCGATGCAAAAATGCGAAAATGGGATACCAAGAGGTTATATGAACAAACATTATGCAAACCGCATGAAGTTCCAGATTTTAACAGTTTAATGGATTTTTTGGAAAGATTTTAATCTCTAGAACCTTCGAAACATTCAGAAATGAAAAAGCCAAAACATTCATCCCTCGATCTTGGGTTGAAACATACAGTACCAAAGTTACAAAAGGTAATGATACCTGTCATTACTGCAATAAATCCCACTCACTCTATTAATGTGAGGAATTCGAAGCCCTACCCATAATTGAAAGAATCGATCTAATAAAAAAGAAGAAGTTATGCTACAACTGTATGGTTCATGAAAACCATCTTGTGGTATTAATTACAAAATTTATCTTTCAAATCTTTGCATGGTCTTTCGATCCGGATAGAGAAATGTATAGAGAAAAAGATGGGCAAATTTAGAATCTAAGACAGTAGTTTCCACACCTATTACTAAAGGAAGGTAAGAAAGATAGAGGTATCTAATGAAGACTGCGAATTTACTTGTTCATACACAGAAGCAGTCCTAATGTACCTCATGAAAAGTACACGCTTTGACTTTAGCTATGTAGTCAGGTTATTACAAGGAACCTTGAGGATTCATCTAATACCGACTTTGTAAGAGGATTTTTGAATACACCAATAGAAGTACCAACTACAAGATACTCAAAAGGGTATGAAGTTAGAATGTTTTAATGACGCAGATCATGGCGGGAATTAAACAATTCGTCGTATAACGTCTGAAGAATTGTCTATCTTTGCAGGAGGCGCTGTATCTTGGCACAGCCAGCGACAAAGTTAAATGGTCATCTTCAAAACTGAGGCAGATATAGTAGCTGCTAGTGTAGCTTCGATTTAACATAAAATTTCTTATAACGAAATAATAATTATCCAAGACTAGCAGTGTTAATCTACGAATCTATTGTAAAAATTGTTCCAAAACTTGGAGTTTCATAGAAATACCAGTCACTTCAGCATTATACATTTCTTTGTGCGATAATTAGTTTTGGATAGTACTAAAGATTTTTTAAAAATTTCAGCAGAGCATCAAGTCGCCGATTTTCTGACGAAGGCTTAGCTTAAACAAAGATTTAAAATTCTTCAAGAACTCAGTTCGCGGAAAACGTCAACGTCAAAAAAGATATTTTCTCATAATCAATTTGATTTAACTGTACATTTAATCTACATTAACAAATCTCACTGAACTCAGGTAAAAGCCATGACTGCACCAACTTGAGACACGATGAAGAGAACGATTCATGCTGTGTTGCCAAATTTACTAATTTTATATAGTTTTGCTAATATAAGTCGTTTTAAATTATTATATTTGTCCTACCTGTCAACACAGCTACTAATTCTTGTACAATATGAAATGTTATAAAATATTTATTTCTATCTGTGCTAGTTATGCTTAAGTTTTAAAACAAAATGTATACTTTTGTTCTGTTTGTGTAATATTTACAACATTTATATTCGGCAACGTCTGGAACTGGATAACTTTGACTATAATGTATTAGGCTTCAAGTGATCACCTCCAAATAACCTACCCTTCTGCTCACTGCGAATAATAATAATAATAATAATAATAATAATAATAGTTCTCTATTTCAGGAGTATGTTACAGATACATAAAACGAAATAGAGTCAAACAAAACACATAAACAATATTGTTTTAGGTCATCAAAAACTCATTTAGATTATATGGTTCCCTGTTAACTAAATATATAAATAACACTTTCTTGATTTTTGTCAATTCATTAATTGTTTTAATATATCTGGAAATACTGTTGAATATTTTGATACAGTTATAGTAGGCTCCACGTTCTGTCATTGTTAACTTGTGGTGTGGGTAGACATAGTCTTGGTTTCTTGAGGGATACACCGACTGCGATTTACAAGTGTCCAAAAGATGTTTATTTAAAAAAAAAAACACATTCCTGTACATAGATTGCTGTCAATTTTATTCATTTATTTTGTTTAAACTTTCCTTTACATGAGTCTCCTACTTTCATTCTTTAAATATTTCGCAGAGCTCGTTTTTGGCAGATACATAATCTTTCAATTTCAATACAACTTCCATACATAATACCATACCTAATATTACTTTTAATTGTAGAATGATATACCATTTTTAAGGTTGAAAGATCTAGATAATTATTTAATACTCTAAGACTATTTGTCGCTCTACCAAGTTTTTGTCGTGTGTACTCCACATAATCAGACCAAGACATGTTGTTATCCAACATCATTCCAAGAAATTTGACACTTTTCTGTGGGGCCAGTAAAACATCATGTAATGTATAACTTTGTGGTTCAGCAATTCGTGACCATTTATTTTTAAAAAGTAGTAGATTTGTCTTTTCTTTATAAACCACTCATTTCCCAATTCAAGAATATGGCTTGCTCTTTGCTCTAACTGCATCATTGTACCACTTTTAACCAGTACATTTGTGTCATTGGCATAATTTGTTATAGAGCACCAGTCCACATTTTCACTTATTTCTTCTATATTATTGATATAGAGGAAACTTGGCGTCTAAATTTATAGATGTGGTAGTTCGCATAATTTGAGACCGATTCGCAGATTTCATTTTTCCAAAATATTTAAAATAAAAATAAATAAAAATTAATTAAAAATTATAAACAGGTACGGTTCTGCACAGCGATAGGACCACCTCGACTCGCGCGCGCTACGCTTAGAATCGACAAAATTGCAAATCGCATCTGTTTTTGAGGACTATTGCGCTACGCGCTTAGGGTAGGACCTGCTCTTTGATTTTTTTATAATGGCTCTATTTTGTTTATTATAATTTTTTTAGAGAAATGAAATCTGCCAATCGCTCTCAAATTATGCGAACTACCACCCCTACAAATTTGGACGCCAAGTTTGTATAGCACAAATAGAATTGGTCACAGTACGCTTCCCTGTGGAATTCCTAGACCTACATATTTAGCATCAGATATAATTTGTTCTTGACCATTTTTTAATTTAACTCTTTGTATTCTCTGATCCAGATATGAACTAATCCATTTTAGTGACGTTGCTCTTACACCATATTTGTCTAACTTGTTTAACAATATATCATAATTTAACGTATCATATGCTTTTGACAGGTCTAAAAATAATCCCAGTGGTAAGTTGTCATTTTCCATAATGATTAAAATTTGATTTGTATATTGGAATGATTGGAATAGTGCAGTTAAGGTTGATTTATTTTTTATAGATCCATGCTGGACGTTGTTGTTTAGCTGTTTTGTAGTTTCCATAAAGTTTATGATTTGTTTACACATGAGTATGCCAAATTTCATGGAATTGTTGATAATATGACAAAGATGGTTGCCTATAATATCTGTGTCTTTAATTAAATTCATGGAGATCTCATCGTATCCAGCACTATGTCTGTTTTTAAGTGTTCGTACGCATTCGAGTAATTCTTGTTTATTTATATTTTTTAATATCATTTCTTGTGCATAGGGCTGGATGGTGGAAGAAAAAGGAATATCATTTAAATTTGATAATAAATTCGGGGCAGCTTTGGCAAAAAATTTATTAAATTTGTCAGCTATTGTCATTAGATCTCCTTCAATATTGATTTCATTTTTGTTTACACTTGACCCTTTAATTTGTGCGACGTTAGCTAAACATATTATGTAGTTGTTTATAAAATTAACTCCACGTTGGACTGCACTTTATAGTAAGGCTGTCATTTCCTGACGTGATAAACGGTTAACCGGTTCGACTGATTTTGACCGGTTTCGGTTTTAACCGGATTTTTACTATTATTATAACCGGTCCGGATATCCGGTTAACCGGTCCGGATATCCGGTTAACCGGTCGATTATCCGGTTAACCGGTCGGTATATCTGGTTAACCAGTCCGGATATCCAGTTAACCAGTCCGATTATCCGGTCAACCGGTCCGATCAAATTGAATCGGTTGAATCGGACCGGTTAGACCGGATTCGGCGGTTTAGTCGTAACCGTGACCAGTTAAACCCGTCACTGGTTTATCCGTTACTGGTTTAACTGTAACCATCGCCGGCTTAATCGTGGCATATTTAGCATATTTTGGATGTAAATTTATTTAAAAATAATTTTCTTAGTTTTGCTTTGTTTTATTATTACATTTGGAATGTTTATATTTGTTTGTATTTTTTTATAAAATAAATACAGTCTTATTTTGTTTTACTTACTTTTAAATGTATAAGTTTTAAAAACATCGATGTTTAAAAATATAGTTTTTTTTACTTAGGTCATTTTGATGCCATCGATACTTTGTTTTTGGTATATCATTCGATGTCAGTATCGAATTCATAAAAAATATGCGCATCCCTACTAAGAGCTCAAACTATACTTGTTCGTTTACGTTCACGGTCTCGCTAAAACTTGTTTAGGGTACGGTTAAACCAGTTACGGCTCAACAAGTGACAGGTTTAACCGGTTCGATTAGAGTTACACCGGATGCGGTTAAACCGGTTACGGTTAAACCAGTTACGGTTAAACCAGTTATGAACCGGTTCCGGTTAAACCAGTTACGTTATTTAACGGTTTTTGGTCCTACGGAACCGATTAACCGATCACGGTTACCAGCCTTACTTTATAGAGTTAAAATAACAAGTAACTATTGCGCTCTACATTCAGTAGGATCCCACATTAGATCTGAAAAGATTACGGTGAAGAAGTATAAATAATAATGTTCAACTCCTTTCAATCTAAATTCAGTGGACATTGAAATTATATATACCCTAATTCGGATAGATAAGTATCTAATACCTTTCAAATTTTCAAAAGAAATACTAAAATGCATAGAAATACGGATCAGATACGTTTCATATTACGGAGAGTTGAGGATTTTATAACATTCTTGCTTTTACAACACCGAACCTTTCATTATTAATCTTTAATTTGTGATCATAAAGTTTTGGGAAAATACTTTTAAGTAATTAAGAAAAGCGCCATCTGACGTATACGGCACGTAGCCTCTTGCAAAATTTGTGCTTACATTATCAATTCGCTTTGCGGCGATATATCGTCGAAAATGAAAGAGTCTGGCTGTGGCTAAGCGTCCGAG